GGCTTCGCATGTGGCTCTCTGCAAATTGTTGTGTTCGCTGTATGGTGTGGCCGTGTTGTTGGTTTTGCCTTGCTACTCATCTGCTGCCTTGTTGCTCATCTGCTGGTCGTGCCTTCCATGTTTGCCGCTTGTGTGCCTTGTAGGTTGGTTGCCTCATTGCTGGTGCCTTGTGCTCCACTCTACGGTTGCTGAGCTGCTGGTTTGCTTGCCCTGTTGTGACTGTGTCGTCGCTTGCAGTGTGGTCGCTTTGATTGTGTTGTCTTGTGCTTCACTACACGGTTACTGCGTGGAGTGTCCTGCGTGCCATGCCGTTGCAGTCGTTTTTTGCATTGTGCAGCCGTGTAACCGTGTTGCCTCTACTGTGTTGCCTGGTGCTCCACAAGGTTGCTGCTCGCCGCTATGTTCCGCTTGGGGACAGTCAGCCTTCATCAATGGTCAAAGGGTTCATGACCCAAACCATCAAATACGGAGATCTCGCAAATTGTTAGGGTTCAGCTTCCTAATGAGTCAGTGCAACCTCGACGAAACAATCTATCATCATTTTATTTTTTTTTCAGTCTTTGCTTGTTTCGATACTTATTTTGGCCTGTCAGCTTTGTCTGCTTTTGTGTGACATCTACCTACCTGCCTTCCTCGTGCCCTTCAGCCTTTGCCTTTCCCCATGCATTGTTACCCCATGTCTTTATGTGCCACCCACCTTCCCGTTGCCCTCCAACCTTTCGGTACTGCACGTTGTTCTGTGCCTTGTCGATTGTCTTATATCGTTCTTTTTGACTCGCTGCCCTACGCTGCTGCTAGTTGTGATTGTCATTTGCTTTCTTTTTGTGGTCCTGTGGCCTAATGCCTTCGGGCCATGGTCTTGTGGTGTTGGTAGGATTGGTAGAAAATAGAAGTCGATATGTGCACAATTGTTGCTTTTGTGTTTGGGATGTATGAGCCTTCTCCATACGATGTGGATCACTCAGCCTTTGGATGGTACGACTTTTGATCGCTCTTTCAGGCATAACTCGCCGCTATTAGCATGACGGTAGCACCCTGTTCTCATTTAAAACACACATATAGCGGGGGAATGTATATGTTCCCGTGGTTGCTATCAAGGGGGTCGATTCCACCTTGTCGAGTTGTGATAACATGCGTGACCTTGATACCAATGGCAAATGAGTTTGCTACTAGTTCATGGTGATGGACACCATCCCCAATGGAAGACTCCCGTTGCATCTGACTATCCTCTTGATGTTTTCAGCTGAGAATCCTACCCGTTATTTTGTGTGTATGTGTTCGTCTGTATGCGTGCGCGGAGTCCATGGGGCACGGGGCTGAGTGGCCTAGTGCCCCAGGACACTAGTCCATCCGGCCTTCCGCATGGAGTGAATGTGGATGGGACACACACACACACACGCACATACACACACACACACACAATCAATTTTATGTAAGACTGTTTTCACCCTGTCGTTTGTCATTTCTCTGATTTTTTCCAAGTACTTTGTTGTGTGTCCAACCGAGCACCCTTAAGTAGTCCCAAGCGGTCGATGGTTCCAGTTTTGGAGTGCCTACTGCACTCTTAGAGTCTTTAGGGGGGCGCTCGGTTCGGGGTGTCTATGTTGCCTGTGGGTGATGACGAATGCTCGTCAGAGGGATTCCCTGGCTCAGTGGGTGGTGGGAACCAACAATCTGTGGGGTTCAATCGTGATGTGAGTAGGTCGTGCGCTGCTTTGCTCTGTGTTGAATGTGTGGACTGCCTCATCCGTGCTCTACCGCTGCCTTGCTGCCTGTCCTGCTGGCTTCGCATATGGCTCTCTGCGAATCGCTGTATTCGCTATGTGGTGTGGCCGTGTTGTTGGTGTCTATGAAACACGCGTCCGCGGGGTCGTGCTCGGAGGGCGGCCGTATATACGGCCGCATCCGCGGCCGACCTCGTCGGCGCCAAGGACGTGAATTTGCCACATTTTTCCTGAATTAAATAATGGGTAAGAAAAAAAAAAATGGGGTTGTAGGGATTAAAAATCCCTACAACCCCTTTTTTTTTTTTTTGAAACAGATAATTTTTTAGAATTATAAAAAATAAAAAACAGAAAAGGTGGAGAAAAGAAATTGAAAAAGAAATTAAAAAAAAAGTTTTTTTTTGGGGGGGGGGGATTTTTGGTTGGCAGTTCTTTGTATTCTGCGTTTTTACGCTGGTGTGTGTGTGTGTGCGCTGCGCCTTGGCCCGCGCGCGGACATGGCGCTTGTGAGTGTGTGTGTGTGTGTGTGTGTGTGTGTGTGTGTGTGTGTGTGTGTGGGCGCGTGGTGGGTGGCGGGGGGTTGGGGCAACCCCTCCCCCACCACTCAATCAATCAATCAACCAATCAATGAACGACAAAAAAAAAAAAGCAAAATCGAATGAATCTTCTACTAGAACATGGGAATATACAATACTGCGTGTGTGTGTGTGTGTGTGTGTGCCTGTGGGGGGTGTGGGGGCGACCCCTCCCCCACCAATCAATGAATCAATGAATCAATGAATCAATGAATCAATGAATCAATGAATCAATGAATCAATGAATTAATGAATCAATCAATCAATCAATCAATCAATCAATCAATCAATGAACGAAAAAAAAAAGAAGCAAAATAGAATGAATCTTCCGCTATAACATGGAAATATACAATCTTACCTGTGTGTGCCTGTATGTGCGCGCCACTGGGGCCAATCAATCAATCAATCAGTCAATTAATCAATCAATCAATCAATCAATCAATCAATCAATCAATCAA